GGGGGGGGGCGCAGCCCCCCCCACAGCAACTTACAAGGAAATCCTTCAAGCTAGGTTTCAAAATGTGGCCATGGAGCTTTCCAATACGACTGCGCTTTCTGTGAGGCTGGCCGAGTAGAAAGGAGGCTGGCGTGCTTCCTTGCACACACGATTAAGAAACAGTCTCTCCAAAAAACTTTAGTTTCACTGCCGCGAAACAAACTCCTGTATCTATAGTTTCGGGGTTTCGAAACACAGATTTACGCAGTCGAAAGTCTGTCGCAGACATTACCTTAGTTTCTGCCCATAAAACTAAAGTTTTAAACCTTTGTTTTTTGCCCCCGAAACTAACGAAGTTTCCGTTCCAGAGTTAGTTTGTTTCCCCCCCCCCCCGGGGCCGGGGAGGCGAGGTTTGAAACCCTCGTTTTTGTTCGCAAAACGAACAATCTTCCTTGCACGGTGTTTGTTTGGGTTGAAACAACGTTTGTTTAAAACTTTGGCTCGCGATGTATCTCATCAATGGAACCTTTCGTCTTTCGTCCAACGATTCAAGGCAAATTTGACACCAGTGTGAGCAAGATTGAGAGAATTGGTGATGATTTCAGCTTCCTGAGGAGAAAGTGCAAACTAGAAGTTGATGGATTGCGGGCCCAACCAGGCAACTACATCCAGCAGATGTTGAAAGCCTATGAAGATCAGATTGGGCCTGCCAAACTTCAACAACTACCAGCAGGCAACTCAATCCAGATGGAAGACAAGTCAGAAGTTTTACGTGAACAAGAGAAGATTAGCCTTTTGAGAGGTATTGTTGGATCAGGTATCAACCTATGTCAAGAGAGGTATGATGTAGCATTTACCGTGAAGGAATTGGCTTCAAGAATGTCAAACCCTACAGCTGTGTCATTTCATCGCTTGAAGAAGTTCCTAGGATACTTGAAGAAGGCGATGGACTTTTATTGTCTAGCACTTGAATTTCCACAGGCAGGAGAAGGTTATGTCGAGAAAGGAAAAAGCGATTGGTGCTTGGAACCATTCTCAGGTCCAGACTGGAGTTGGTTCAAAAGCCACAGGAAGTCAACAGCAGGAGGATTCCACGCATTGCACAGTTGTCCATTGTTCAACAGGAGCAGGACACAGAAGATCATCAGTCTACGCACGACGATTTCCTCACTCAGCATCAGATGGAACCTACATTTGTGCAGTTCTTGAATATGCTCTTGAGACAAAGGAGGACCAATATGAGTACTCGACAGAATTCTTGTGAGTCAGCGGTAGATCGTTTGAAACGGTGATTTGATTTGACTGCAAAACCGATAGGGGCCCACCCAACACCGATACCCTCTAACGTGGGCGATGGCCCACCCAAAACCCCAAAGAGGATAGAGACCGATAGGGCTCCACCGAAATACATGTAAAGAGATGCCGAAACTTGAAAACCGATAGGGGCCACCCAAATTATAAACGTCCTTTGCGGGTAATAAGCAATATTGTCCGACGCTCATATCTATACAGATTCGTCAAGCGCACGCCAACTTGTGATGAAGAGAGGAGCTGGAAAGGTGAGACACTTAGATGGAAAGTTGCTATGGATTCAGAGCAGGAAGGACTTCAAGATGGCACAAGCGTCAACAGATAGCAACATAGCAGACATTGGCAGACTTCAACGCCCAGGACAAAGAATCAGATACTTGTTGAATCTCATTGGACGCTGGCACAGTGAAGACCAGGTCAGAGTAGGAAAGTATGAGAGAAGGGAGTATGAGGAGCAAAAGGAACTTTGCAGGCAAGGTCACTAAGATTGCAATAATGCCCGTGAGACTGGTAACTTTGGAGGGCTTGCAGCCAATAGTTATTCTTGAAAGAAGGCAATACTCAATGCGGATTGGACGCAGTGAAGAAATCCAAGGAAGAATGGAAATTCTCGATTGTCATGATCACTGTGTTTAACATTATTGGTTTTGCAGCAGTGATCTTCGGGATCTACAAAAACCTCGAGAACCTACATTCAGGTTTTGTTCATTCAAACAGCTCTATGTCAGAGTTCTATGAGACGATGGCAAGAGAACTGACAAGAGAATTGATGATGTTGGAGTGAGCGTTGGAATTTGGAGAGAAGAAGAACTGGAAGACGAGTTAGACACACCTGAAGACTACATCAGGCTACAATGTCTTGAGCCAATGCAGGAAACTACCTAGCCAGGAGGAGTTTTGAAGCTATGAGCGAGAACGGGGGAAATATGAAGAAATACTTGGAATAGCAGAACGCAGAAGGGACAACCCAGATGTTGAACCAACAGAAGCACGCTTCAGGAACCCAGTTCCTGTAGTAGGAAGATTTGATCAAACTTGCAGAAAGATAGAGAGATAAGAGTTGAATGGATGGTATGAAGGACGCAGGGTGATGCTAGATGTAGCCCATGAAGGAGCAAGTCCATCAGAAGGACTCCTGAACAAATCATTAAGAAAAGGAAACAGAGAGGTATCAATGGGACCAGAGTGTATAAAGACGCAAGCAGCACAAATGTGTGGTAGGCTCTATTCCAAAATTGATGACATGAAAGAAGAAGAATGGAACCTACTAGGACTAGGAGATCAGGATTCTGCAGATAGCATTCTTCTGAGAGAGCTGAGCCCCGCTGACAGTCAGGAATGATCAAAGGACCCTGCGGTGTGGATGTGTTTCTCCTGTTCTCCAATTCAATGTCAGAGTCGGGGTCCAGCATGAAAGGCGCTGTCTATTGGCTAGGTTCGTCTTGAAAATGGCTTATGGTTGCAAAGTGAGCCCAAAGAAGCCTTTTAGCGTCTCACATCGCCAAGAAGGAACGCGAACCATTTTCCATGTGAATCATGACCATTGTACATTGCATAGCTTACCATTGTGATCAAGACAAGGTGTGTGATTATTATATATATATTTGTATTGAACTATATGCAACAATGTAAGTGTCTTAAATAATGTATGTGTTCTTTGTGCTTCCTGGGTTAGTGCTGCTCAAAACCAATTGCAGGCATTCTACCGCCGCTTGGCCGATGCAGCCGGAGTATGTGGAGCGGAACCCGCGATCCGCCGTGAAGTCCCTGAGCGAACAAGTCGTTCAACAAATTTGTTTGCGTTCCAATTTCTGACATTTTTGTAAAACGTGTTCCAGATTGCAGATTGCATTGTCCTTGCTAAATCAGGGTATCTATTGAGACAAACTATGTTTTGTGGTTCTTTCTCTAGCTCAACGAGTGCTATAGTGCTTATGCAAGTGCCCTAGAAAATGCTTAAGCAAGGTTCATTCACACGTATGCTCTGAGCTGTTGAACGCGGTCTGTGAAAATGATGCGCGTCGAGCCAAAGCCTTATTGGCGGTTCTTCCTGAGGCAAGGAGCTGCACAAATCCATGATATGCAAGTGTTATTTCCCTTGTTCCTACTAGTTTCTTGCTACTAGTAGTAATGCCCTTGTTCCTAGTAGCGACAGCATGTTGTATTGATGTGTTATAGTATTGAATGGTGATTCATTTTGTACGACACCCTTTCGCTCACCCCATTGCATTGCCGAACTTTTGGAAAACTTCTCAATCTGGGAGGCTGCTCGTTGCCGTCCCTTGCAACCGGGTGGTCAGCTGCCGCTGGAATACGCGGCCCATCATGGCAGAGTAGCCTTGACGAAGCTTCTCCTGCAGGACGTTTGTATTGTTGCAATGCATGCATGCATGCAAGCAAGCAAGCAAGCAAACAAAGCACAGAATGAAAGGGGAGAGCAGTTGATGCATGGCTTTGGCTCACTTCATTTGCTCATACAAGTGTTGGGAGGCAAGAGCAGATCCGAACTCCTGCGGTGAGGCTGGGGCTTGAATGGCTGTGCCTAGACCCGCGTCATTTGTTTGAAGTGTTCACACAATTGGATTCGTTGCAATGTGATAGTGTGATGGCCGCGAGCTTGAAACCTGGAGGCAGGGGTGCCGCCACTGGCCCGAGCTGCGTCACAAGGCAACCTAAAGGCGCAAAGCTGCACACACTGAACCTCAAGATTCTGTGCATGAAATCCAGTTTGCACTAACAAGCAGTATATCATACTATATAAAGGCTATTAAAAGCTGCTTGCAGTAAAGACATATTGTGTTTTCACAGCATTCATGCAGCAACCTAAATCCCTTTATGTAGTGTCAATGTCAATGGATAGGACGCTCTAAGAATGATCTGAGACATCTGAGACTGATACAAAAAGGTGAACTTGCATGATTCAAAATAGATTCCACATAGAAGTGAATCCTACAAACAGCCTGAGCTCAATGACATTGCTTTGACGTACTCCTCCACATCACAGACGTACTCCTCCACATCACATCATTTTTTCTTGGCATGTAGCCAACCAGGGAGATTTGCAAAGGACAGATCCCCTTAATGTAGCACACTAGCATATTTAAACAATGGTGAACGTTTCAAATGCACGACGCAGCTTCTGAGCTTTGCTTATTTTGTGTTCTGTGTTTACAGTAGTGTGTCATTTTCAGTGTCATGTGATGAATCAAAGTTGCTTTCCAAAGTTCAATGGCTTGAATGGAACATGTAGACTGCATCTGTTGCAGACCATTCGTTTGCTTTTGGATGCCGGAGCTTCACGTGGAGTAACACGCTTGCCGGAAGTTCAGCGGCGTGAAGCAACTTGACTGCTTTGGCACTGACAGTTTGTCAAATCGTTCCTCCCTTTTGTGCAGCCTTTGTGAGTGTTTGACAAGGATTTTGGACATGAGGTTCAAAGAGTGACTTCTCTCCCCACGCTCAAAGCTGAGCGGTTGATGCTTGGTGGCGCAGGCTCCCTTTCACTCTGAAGCTTGTACAGCAGAATTCAAACGTCTTCAGGAATCATTCTCCAGACTCTAGGTTACACAGCTGTTTCACTTGTCAAAAAGTGCACTGCGACTGCGACTGCGACTTGCTGATTTATCGACACTGGCAGTCATGCAGAACAGAGGTTTGCAGGGAGAGGGAACCAAGGAGGAGAAAGGTGAAAAGGATGACCAAAACAATGTTTTTTCAAAACGGGGACGGGACGGTTGTATTGCTTCTTCGCCTTCGATGCTGTTGTGTCAGGTGTCATCACAGATGATCAGTGAAGGGAAGACAACACCGGAGCCGGGATGCCCATCCGGGCGACCTTTCAGCACTACTCAAAGAAGATGAAAAACCGGTTGACAAATTAGACAAACATATTATGTGTATTTGCTTCATATTTCATGTAATGTTTTCTTTTTTTATCATTCTTTCTATTCATTGCGACCGCATAAAGGCCATGCTAAATCTCCGGACCCAGTTGACCCAGTTTACCCCAACAAGCTACCACCACCACCACCACCACCACCACGACGACACCCTGTTCAACTGGGTCAATCGGGACCACAGATTTGCCGGACCCCTGTGTCGACGCACTCTTTGTATTCCCGTCGCAACAATGGCCCTACATGGAGGCTGCTTGTTCACTATCAATGAGATCCTGCTTAAGTAGTCTTGCCGCACGCCCTGCTATTCAATATTCATTTGGTCCGGAGGGTTCAGGTTAGTTCTCCGATGTTCTTCTACAGATCTACAGTGACAGTAGCGATCTGTCACGTCGATTGGTCATGTGTCCTTTCTTTTTGGTGCGAGAGCTGAAGCAGACCAGGCAGACCAGGTGGTCTGAATTATTGTACTCTGTACTCTGCAGTTTGGCAGTTTGTTTATCAATATGTTGACTTTCTCCGAGCAAAAACAATTGTAAAACAATATATAGCTCCGTTCAACATTTGTTCACTAAGAGACAGAATCAGTCTGATTCGGTCCAACTGAAGGGTGATCTACAGCGGGACCACAGCGGCGGTCAAGTCACCAGGAGGCCCAAGCCAAAGTGAAAGACGCGCAGCAAAATGCACCGCTTTTGCGGACTCGTCTTGAAACGCATGGTGCGTCAACATGTGTCAACATCATGTGTCAGCATCTGTCATTCTTATTGTGGACTGCTGCTGCGTCTATACTTTGTTTTTTATGATTGCTAATGAGAACGCGTTTGGCCTGCGCTTGTTGCGAGGAGACATGAAACATGGTTTCGTGACCCGATGCTCTGAGGCGTCGCTCTTGACAACTATTTTGTGTATTGGTTGAACAAGGCTGGCACTTCGCAGGCCTGGCTTGGTGTGATGCAAAAATTGGTCTGGACCTAGGGTTTGTTGGTAGGCTGGAACGTGTAGCATGACTTACTCTAGGCAAACAACTTGCCTTGAGAAGTGTTCAAGTTTTGCGAGAACCAACACCAGCTTGGAGATGAAGGGCTTCTGCTGAACAAGCTGATGCTACGGACCTGGCGTATCAGGCTGGCACATTGAACAGAGGCCTACAGTATGCAACGGCTCGAATGCTCAGCCTTCGAGTTTGTTTATCAAACAAAGCCACCCTTACCAAGGACAGCACGTGCTTTTCATACAAGATTTGTAAATGCAACACTGGCAACACTGAAGGTATTCGCATGTCTGACATGTAGTGGGCACTAGAGTGGACAAAAACATTCAAGATTTGCTTTTGTGAAGCTACCTATGAATCAAGATTTGCATGACACCTGTCTTGCCAGTGCCAGACATATTTACAGTATACTGATGGTATGCGCTGAGAGCTGACCGGTGCGGGTTTGTGCCGCAAGCGCTTTTTGAGGCCCGATCTTTGCAAAATGCTTCGAAGGGCGTTCAGGCATCCATTGTCCAAATGCAGTTGCATTCATGATATTCGTGTCTTGGTGTTGACAGTATTGTTGCTGTGCAGATGCTGGCTGACAATGCATTGAAGTGCTGCGGAGTTTGCCTTGCAGGAGGATGGGTGTTTCTTTTTTGGTTTCACTGAGATGTTTGGCATCGGTGGCTGCTTGTCTATTCCTGCCGCCGGCCAGAAAACATTTTCTACACTGACGAATCAGCCAAATTGTCCAGCCCTTAGGCGCAAAAGCTAATGTCCTAGCTTCATCCTGAGTTTTAGACCGTTTGAGGTATGGAATAAACCGAGCTGCAACATCTCGCCATATGGTCACAACGGCTGGGCTCCATAGCAGATTGTCTTGCCAAGTAATTACTTGTAGAGTCATTTGTTTATTGCACCTGACCCAGAGACTATTTGGGCTGCTTGTGTCTTTTTTAGGTATCATCGCAGCTACAGGCTTGGAAGCTTCACAACATGCTCCAGCGTGCTGCAGCTTCACTCACGGTTTCTAGATATATATAATATATAAGTGTCTATGACATTCGAAGCTCACAGTTTATGCCATCCAATTTCTATGAAGGCCCCTCGTGGATGCGTGCATGATGGCTCTGGAACTGTATATGCGAGGGCCTGACTTTCAGCCACAACGCCATATCTATTTGGATGCGTTGCGATGCTCTCATGTGTGGAGTGGGAGGTTGCGTTTTCGAGTTTCAGGTAGCAGACAAAATGCAGAATGCTGTCTTCCAGTTTGCGTCGAACATGCGGGCATTGGAGCCGAGCAGACCACTTGCGAAGGAGCGACTGTCTAGAACATGTTGAACATCTTCTTAGAATCAACAATTTTCATATTGTGTTTATTCGCTCTGTTTCTTTTGACAACTTGCGAATCTCAGATAATTGCTCAGTCGAGTCTTAACATGCTGCAGACATCTTTTCGCGAGACATACGGTAGTTTGTGCTGGTGTCCAGGCCGCAGATCTTCAGGGAGCTTTTGGTCTGGCTATTTTCGATGCGGTGCGGAACAGGGAAATGACAGACTGCAGTGTTGTTGAGTGGAATGGCATGGCAAACAAGACCATTAAGAAAAATGACAAGATGGGACCCACGAACCCGAATGCACACACGCACTCGAAAACAAACGGCCAAACATTGTTGGACACTCTTGGGGGACACTTTCATGCAACACTCTTTTGGAGGACTCTTGTGTAGGACACTCTTGTGGACAACTGTTCTGGGCACTCTCGTGCGACACTCTTGTGGAACACTCTTGCGGGATACTCTTGTGGGACTTTCTCGTGGGACACTCTTATGGGATCTTTTGTGGAAACGACAGTCTTGTGGGGCTCTCTTGTGGCACGGTCTTTCGGGACACTCTTGAGGCACTCTTATCCTCTTGTGGGAGATTCTTGGACACTCTTGTTGGAGACGCTTGTGGGAAACTCACTCTCGTGGAAGCTCTCGTATGATACTCTTGTGCGACGCTCTTGTGGTGTGCCATAGACTCAGACTGGATGCAACAATGAAACACCAAGCCTCACGGACACCACCAATCATCCCGCTCCCCAGCAACACGCCACGCTTACACCAGCGTGTTTTCCTTCCCCCAATGGCACGGACTCACGCAAACGCACTTCCCACCGAGGCAGCGCAAAGCCGCATGACGCAGCGACATTACACACGGCACGTCGCCACAGACTAGGTAAAGCCATGTAACACCAAGCACCGTGGGCACCGCCAGTCATGCCGCCCCCC